ATGGCCACTTATCTTTCAATAGTGACTCTGGAGGACCAACACTACATGAAAATGATTTTTAAAGGTCTGCAACAATAAAGAACAATATGATCAGCTCCAAATCCATAATTCCAACAAACATGCCCATTTCCAATTTTCTTTCTTTCTTTCAGAAATTTCAGTCTTTTTCTTGCTTCTGTCTGGTCCTGCTTTGAGGACTGGTAAATCTAAAATTAGGGCTAATATATCTTGGTGGCAAAAATCTAGGTGGGTGCTAGATGGCAACAAAGATTTACCAAAATATAAAATGCAAATATGGTAGCTCTGCTGAAATGAAATATTACTGTTCAAGTCAGGGTCACATGAATCATTCAATTCTTACTCAAAATTCAGTCAGGATTTCTCCAGAGGAAAATGCTGAAAATATATCAAAGAAGTCCTTATTTAAAGAACAACAGGGGGAAATCCATATGTTTAATTGTGAAACTTTTGATTAAACTGCATTTAGATGATCCAAATTTCTGGTGTTTTCCATTTCTGGGGAAAAAACACCCTCTGGAAAGCCACTGCCAGTCAGAGTAAATAATTTCAGGTAAATTCATCTACTTTAATATATCCAGAAGGATCTGATCTTGTGCTTCTTACAGCTGCTCAGCAGTAGCTATTCACAGGTTATACCAGTTACCTCCTTGCTATAAACAAAGATTAAGCAGTTGCTAAAAGCAGAGAACGCATACTTGTGTTTTTCTTGGTGGATAGCAGACGTCTATATTAGAATTACTATTCTCAAAATCCAAAAACAGCAAGCCCAAAGAGGTTTTATGTTTTCACAGTTATCTCAGATCACATGAAAAACTCAATGAAATTGAGAATGTGTAACTGTAAAAGGTGCTTGGAGCTCCATTATTCACAGGAAAAAATAGTTGCATGAGGCTATAGGGGACAAGGACAGCTCTCTGATTATCAGTATTTTTCCAGAAAGAGGTTCTGTACCATTAGCAGTTACATGGCGGAGAGAGGCTTGCATTTGAAGTTGTTCACACCACAATAAAAATCTCTTTTGTTGAAATCTGATCTAACCATGAATCAACTAATAGAAAGTTAAGCTGGTATCCAAGATTACCATAGCCTCTGGATATATCGTATCCCTGCAAGATTATAACCGTAACCGAAGATACATCATATAGCATGGTAAGATATTCAATTTTGTCAACTAATTTCCCTCCCTGCTATATGACTTAAAAGGAAAATATTGATTGTAACCGGTTTCTCTCAGATTATGGACTTCTAGATGATGACTAAATACCAGTAATTTGATTATTTCACTAACTTTAAGGTCAAGAACAGAAAACAAACTACATTAAGGTTTAATGTGTTATATAAGCCAGGTCTGTGAAGTTTATAGCCAGATTTCCACAGAATCCAACATTTGGATTAATCTGTAAACTTTCATGGACCCCAGTCTACCAAGGAAAATTTATCCTGTGTTAGAATTAAATATAATAATTTAGTATTCCTGGTATTTATAATACTAATGCTACTTATTAATTTTTAGTAATATAGGTGTGGCCTTGGTGGAGGTGAATTTTACACAGCGATGATATCAAAGAGAAATGAAAGATAACAAGAAAGAGGTCAATTACTAATTGTAAACATTCACAAAACAATTATTAGGTAGCTAATAATAAACATAGGCTGCATGTATATAATGTAATTTGCCACTTTACAGCTTAGCATACTCTGTGAACTATGCCTCAATATTGTGGGTGCACTGATTTTATCACATAATGTGTGTTAAACATTTTTGTCCTTATTCAAGCCACAGGAAATAAAGGGATGTCCAGGAACATTTTTCTAAAGAAAAAAGCCCATTAAACATAATAATCATTTCTTCTTAAGGAAATATTAATGCCATGTGTTATTTGACAAGAAATACGTTGTGCAATGTGTCTGTAGCATTCTACCATTTGTTATGCTGAAGCAACTTCCTTCTAAAAGTACATTTTGAGGTACCTTTGAAGAGGACTAAAACATATATATATATATATAAACTTATTTTTCTAGAGAGGTTGGCATCATGCTGGGTTTTTTTCCCCTCAAGCACTAGCATTTTTGTGGAAACTTATGGCACATACTTTTTTAATCTGACCAGCTAGGTTAAGTAATCTTCCCTTTGCTTGTAAAACTGAAATGCATCCCGCCCTTCTCTAGCTGTTTCACCCAAGCGGCCTGTCCACACAAGCTCTGCTTTCTTTCAAGCTTTTCACCTCACCTGCTCTTTATAGGGACAATCTCCCTGCTTAAAGTCTGAGGCAAGACAGCTTGTTAATGGTGATAGAAAGAAAGGAAAAGACAAACTCACCTTGTTTTTGCATCAAGTGCCTTTCCCTCTTAAGCAGGGGAAGTTGACAGCAGTAGATCTTTATTGACTTGTTTTACTGTAAAGGGTTGGGCAAAATGCGATGAGGCTGGAACACAGGCAACATTACACCAATAAAAATCCTTCTGAGATTATTAGTAGGGAGGAGACATGTGCATGCTGTGTGTGTGTAAATAAAACTTGTGGAAACATCTAAAGTTGGTTCTAAATACCCCAAGTAATTTGTTCAGTGGTCTCCAAACTTGGCAACTTGAAGACTTGTGGACTTCAACTCCCAGAAGTCTCCAGCCAGCTATACTAGCTGGTGAATTCTGGGAGTTGAAGTCCACAAATCTTAAAGTTGGCAAGTTTGGGGACCTCTGCTTTTAGCCATGCAAGTTTTGCAAGAGATCTCAGCAATGAAAACATTGCTACCAAAGCCATTGTTTTTCAGAATACAGGGGATGCCAGATTACAAAAATTGTCTGGGTTTGCACAATTAACTAGGATAATACATAGTTGCCTGGCTTACGTCTCATAAGAGCACATTTGATGTTAGTTTAATTCAGTGACTGTAGTTGCACCACACCAACACATTTCAGCCTAGCTTGCATGAATGCAAGCTATGGAATTACTTAGTTATTATGGGAATCCCCCAAAACTGAGTTAATTATGGATCAGTTAACTATGGGTAACTGTCTTATATAATCTTGACATTATATTTCTGGGTGTATTGCTGTTTCTTCTCATCTCCTTGGGTGTGTATACCATTGTTTATCTCACTTACAGGATGGCAGAACTAATAAGAGTTATTGGTGATGGCAGTCAGCAGGCTCAGGAGGAACAACCTGGATTTACTAGTGCTTACATAGGCTTATGAAACCCTTCGGTGTACTGGAGCAAATGTCACATGACTCATACCAGGAAATGAAATCGAAGAGCCATGCTATGGAAACGTTTGGCTAATGCGTGGCTTCAGGTAAGTGCTTTATGTGCAGTGCACAGCCCTCTCTGTGAGCCTTATCAGCAGGAACCATTGTCTTCCTCTGAAGCAAATGCAGAGGTCACTCTATGGCCACTATTTAAAAAGTCTGCACTACTATTACTACTAATAGTCTCATCCCTCCTTATCACCCATCCCCTCCTACTTGTGACCGTATGACTGTAACTTTGTCGCTTGTATCCTTACAATTTATATTGACTGTTTCCTAGTATGATTTGATTGCTTATTGTACCCTACAACTGTTATTAAGTGTTGTACCTTATACTCTTGACGAATGTATCTTTTATGTATACTGAGAGTATTTGCACCAAGACAAATTTCTTGTGTGTCCAATGACACTTGGCCAATAAAGAATTCTATCTACCATGCAAACCAGACAGATCGAAGCAGTACCTAGGAGGTGCCAAGTTGGTTCCATGGTTCCCGAAGGGAGCTGCATCTCATGAAAGCCTTTGTCTTTTAATAAAATGGGTTCATTTCATGAAAACCTTTTGTCTTTTAATAAAATGGGTTCATCAGAAAAGGTGCCATCAGGCTCCTCCACATTTTTTGCCACCATAGACTAACACATCTTTCCTCCTGCAGTGACGTTTCAGGAAGAACCAACAATTTCTCTGAAAGTGACAAGTCGCAGGGCAGGTGGAGATTAAGTTGATCGTGTGCCTATTTATAAGCAAAGTATATACTGCCTATTCAAAACTCACTGTGAATATAATGGAACTTCTGTCAAGAAACAAGAGATCCTCCAAATCTTCCCAACCAGCATGGCTAATAGTATGGGAAACGGGGAATGTAATTCAGCAACATTTACAGAGCCATTTGGTTAGACCTTCCTTTGTGGAGAGGCTAACCGAAGGCCGGTATTTTCCAACCTCAGCAACTTTAAAATATGGGTACTTCGACTAAGAGAAGCCAACACCCCCTCTCTGGTCCAAGCCCATAGTTTTCAGTTTGTTTTATCTATTTTTAATATTTATAACTGTTTTTACTTCCATATATTTTATTATAAGCAACTCAGAGTCACCTCAAACTGTGAGGAGCAGCAACTAAATTTGATAAATATAAGATTAAAAATAAGCTCCCAGAATCTCCTAGGCAGCATGGCCATGGCTAAACATTCTAGGAACCCAAATCCATACATCTTAAAATGGTTGAGGTTGGAAAACACAGCCTAAAAGTAAGACTGGGCTTTAAGCTGGCAGCCTCTTTTAAATCTCTAGGCGGCTGATGGCAATTCAAGCCATTCTACCTGTCTCATTCAGGTCTGGATAGGTAAAACATTACCGGTAGTCCTTGACTTACCACAATTGAGCCCCAAAACTTTTGCTGCTAAGGAGGGAAGTTGTTAAGTGAGTTTTGTTCCATTTTACCTTGTTTGCCTCAGCTAAATGAATCATTGCAATTGTTAAGGGAATCATGCAGTTGTTAAGAAAATCTGGCTTCCTCCATTGACTTTGTCAGAAGCTGGCTGGGAAGATTACATATGGTGATCACATGAGCCCAGGACAGTGCAACTGTCATAAATACATATCAGTTGCCAAGTGTCTGAATTTTGATCAAGTGACCAGGATGCTGCAACGGTTGTAAGGATTGAAACAGGTCATAAGTCATTGTTTTCAATATGTTGACCACTGAACCAAAGCAATGTGATGTCATGTATTTTATTTCACAATCTCAGCAAATCAAAAGATAACCTCGCATTCAAGAGAGCCATTTCACATCCATATTAACAAAATTTCTCCAAAATACATACTGATTTTTCATATAACAATTTTGTTACATCACTTTCATTTAAATAGCAAACCTAGGGGAAAATGCATGGCTTTTTTATTTTAGTATATTATAGGTCAGCTAGAAACCATTTGCAAAAACCATACAGTACTAAAGAAACCTAAAATACGTAGTAGTCAGTCTGCAAACCTAGTTATCAGTTAGATGGTGTTTCAGTTTCTAGAGGAAAAAGCGCTGCAAGACTTTTGCTGAAAAAGCATCTGCATTTTTATGCGGCAGTAATTCCAACCTCAACTGAGATGGCTGTCTCTCAATTCTACAGCAAAGTGTAGCTAAGTGTTCAGAATAACGCAAATGGGTCATAAATAATTTTGCTTGTTCACGAATTTTAATAAAAGCGAAATATTTGTGCTAAGTCCGGGAAGCAAAAACTAAGCCTTGCACAAGCATGCAGAAAGACCAACCTATTCCGCCATATTTTTGCTACCAGATGTTGTGTTTTGCCCCAGGACAACCTGGAGCAAAAATCATGTTTCAATTATGTTTCCTGCTGAGTGGGAGAGTGCGGACATGCGCCCAAAGTTGTAAATAACCGGTACTGCTTCAAGCACTACATAGAACTTGGACTGAAGCAACAGTTGAAAGAAGGCCCAAGTTTGTGGGGTGGGTTTTTTTTTATACTGGCAGTACTGGAAATAGCAATTTCAAGTATTTTTATTATCAGGAGCAGTAAGGATAGGTAGTTTTATAACAGTTTTATATCTATTTCATTTCAGCATTAAATCAAATTCAGTGTTAAAAGAATGAAGAGTAGATTTTCATTGTTTTAGACAGATGAGGGGATGCCAGCAAGTAGGATTTCAACTGTTCTGATAACTTTCCAAAATCTTTGGAAGCCACACATCTAAAGACCTACTGCCATAGAAAATTCCTAAAATTCTACCTCTTACCCTCCCTGAACATTTTGTTTCAAGAAAAGAATTTTGCCTTATTGTGAATTGAATATGGCATTTTACTCATAAGAATTGTACTCGAGGAAAGAGGAAATACACAAAACCCTAGAAAGGCTTTGACTTTTTTTCTTTTTTAGCAAGGCCTTTGAATTTATCAAGTTAAACCAAAGAGTTGTTGAAAGGTAATCTGATGTTCACCACACACAGTGAGTGTGATGGCTGAAAACCATAAAATAAATCTGTTCCTTCAAGTTGCAATACACTCAAAATTAAAGGAATAAAATCTGTGCAATAATAAACTAAACACATAAATAAGCTTATTTATGACTATCTTCTTTCTTGGAAACCTACACTAGGACAATCAACCATTTGGTCAAATCAACTACCCTGTTAACTATAGAGGTAAAGATGCTTTCCTGGCTAAAACTACGCAGCCACCACTTTGTTCCCGTAAAACTGAAAGAGCCCAGGTATTAAGAGAGTAGACAAGACTGTCCGTAGTGTGAAGCACTTGTGTTACCATACATGCATCTTGTAGAAGAAATGGCAGAAAATTCCATTGTCCATGTAGAATCAAATGTCTAATACATGCTGTCAAATTTTTCAGAAGAGCAGTGAACTTCCTTAATCACAAGATGGCAGGGTTCATGCAACGAAGAACCAATCAAAAAATCACAGAGATAATTTTCTTCTGAAGCTTCACTGTGAATGAGCTGGACAGCACCTAAAATATCAATACCTACCAAATTCAACAGCTGTTGATAGGTTTCAGCTGAAGTAGTCTTTCTTCCAGAAAGAATGTTCTCTGGGACAATTAAATGGTGAGATTGGGGAAAAGACTCCTTCATTATATCATACAGAGGAGAACAATATATTAAGTGTCTGTACATTCCCCAATCCAGGAAAATGTTAGAAACACTTTCCTATTGGCACATATATCTGTCATTTCTGTCCATGAGAGATACATGTACCGGGGGAGACAAGGTGGCTCTTATCACTGTCATATCCCTAATCATTATTTAGCCATATGGCAATAAAGGATGCAACATGTGATGATGGTTCTCTACTGGGTTTTCTTGTCCTCTGGAGGAAAGTAAGGAGGTGGAGGAGGCTGGTCCTAAAATGTGTGAGAGAAAAATAACAACTTCAGTTTATTATTACACATATTTCAACCATAGAGCATTTCTTATGCTTTATATATATAAAACAAGATATAAATTAGACATGCTGCATGAATCATGTTCTTGAATTGACAGGAAGTATTTCTGTTGTACTATAATGTAATTTTAAAAAGCTTGGGTTTTATTTGTCATGAGATCTGTTTTAGGCACCTTTTATGTCTTGTCATCTACTCTTGCCTTACTGGTATTGGGCACTGGTATGGTATTGTTAAATAAATGAACAAGGCTCCCTAATAATTAGGCTCATGTGCTAACAGTGTCCTTGTAATATATAGCAATATATTGATGTACAAAGCTACCGTGTTTCCCCCAAAATAAGACCCTGTCTTATATTTTTTGCCACCAAAAAAGGCATCAGGTCTTATTTTCAGGGGATGTTGTCCATTGACTCACCTCACTTTTGTGTGTTGCTCCCAGCCTCCTTTTCACTGTCAGAGGCCTTCATTAACTTTGTTTTCTGTGGCTATCAAGACTTTCCTGAAGGCCTCTGCAGCCAGTAACAGAGCTCCAGATCAATCTGGAGCTTATCGGCTATAGATGCCTTCAGGAAAGCCTTCCTGGCCTTGCCAACTGCAGAAGAAATGGGCCGGCTAGGCAGGTGTCAGGGTGTGCAAGGTCTGGCTGCAACTGTCCAAATGTAAGTAGTAAGGCAGCTCCACCCACCATCCCCACTCTAGCTTAATTTTTACTCGTGCACCCTGGAGTGGGCAGGGTCTTAATTAGGGGTTATGGGGGGGGGCTTATATTGGGCACATGTGTAAAAATCAAGCTAGGACTTACTTTTGGGATAGGTCGTATTTTCAGGAAAACACGGTATTACATACAAGCTGGAAGATTATTTAAGACAATAGGGACATATATGGTAAAGGGCCCTTGGATATGATCTTAAGGCATACACTGCAGCTAACTTGTTGAACTAAGAATCTTAGATCAAGTTAGTGCCTGGATAGAAGAGATATTGGGAATCCTTTCAAACTGCTGTGAGTTCCATGATGAAACAAAAGATGATACCCACAAACATTGTCAATCAAGGATGCATTAAGGGCTGTTCATGTCCATGAGAGGCACAGCAAAGGCAAAAGCATTGTGGCACTGGATTTTTTTCAAAAGCAAATCAAATCCCCCTGATATAGCCTCTTCAATATAATCTTATTAAAAATAACTATATAATTGTGGAAATTATAGAACTAATTTCTATAAAATATCCTCAGATAGTGCAACCCACATGTAAAACTATATACACCTAATCACCATCTGTATCTCCCTCATTTTCAGCCATTTCTTTAAATATCTGTACATAAATATATATTTATGTCCACCACAACAAATATAGATAGTAGATTGGGCAGATATGAGGAAAGTCAATGAAGTTTCAGTTGAGAAATCAGAAAGAAGGAAGTGGACAAAGTTGGAACACAGAAAGAAGAAGTGAAGAATACAATTTTTTAGAAAAATTCACAAGAAGAGGAAGATATCATTGGGATGGTGAAATGCAAAAAGACCTAAAACTAGAACCCACCAAAGGTTAAAGGTAGAAGGAAAAAACAAAACGAAAAAGAGAAAGCAGCGTGTTAAGTGTTTTCAAATAAAGGACAGATGGAAATTTTCAGCTACAATCAAGAGACACACTTTTTTCTGCTTGCTCTAAGTATATTTCTGAAATTTACCATGGGCATGTAGACATTATGAGGGTTGCCTGGGTTGTAATATGCACTTGCAGCAGCTTCTGCAGCCTTAGCTTCAGCTGCAAAAAAAACCCAACAGCACATATTAATGATTATTGTTTAACCAATCAATTTATATAGCTGCCTATCTCACACACATGACTCTAGGTGACTTACAATAAAAATAGATAAAACAGATACAGTATAACAAATAAAGACACACAGCACCTGAGCACTTAGGGTTTACACATAAGAGCTGGGTATGCGTATTGTACTCAGCCGCTGAATAAAATGATTTGTTTTCTTTTGGCTTAATATGGTGCGTGAATTTATATATCATGGCTTGTAAACTTTGGTTTATGCTTAGCATGTGTAGGAATCCAGGCAGTTGTGGCTAATTCAAGAAAATACATAATATATAAGTCTTATTCATAACTATTAAGCTGGAAATTAGTGTTGAACCTGCATGTTCAAATCACTGTCATATTCAAACAGGTCACACTGTTATTTAATACAATGTATAATCCCCGTTGTAATTCTCTTGCCATTTTTGCCCAAAGCTGCTGTATGTTTTTTTTCCTAGAGGAACACAATCAGCTACTCAAAATTCTGTGAAGTTCTTTAAAGTTATTCAAAGGACAAGGTGAAAACAAGGCAGCAGTTCTTCTTATCCAATTCTTGTTTCAGAGATGGAATACTGCTTTAGTAACTGATCATCTCTTGTATTATACAGAATTGAATTCGCTTCTCATATTTCCCTAAATGCTGTATAAGATAAGCACAGAAACTCTACTGTCCTTTAATCATATAATAATAGGATTATTCTGCTTGGCTAAAAAGGGCTTGTTCCCCACCTACGTCCAATAGCAAACATAGCACCATTCTATATTTTGTTATATAGTCCTGCTTAGTATTCAGACCTACTGCAGGAATATGTTTCAAGAACTGTGGCCCTTATTATTCTAAAAATCAAACTAGAGACTTCTAAAAGCCACAGTCAGGGTAAAAAGCTGAAGTATTTCTTGGTCCCTTTCTTCTCCAAGCAGATGTCTACCTTTTGTGCACAAGAGGAAGATTATACCCTCTGACGTCCTGCCACTCTTCAACTGACTCCAGCGCCAAACACTGGATTTGCCTCTAAACTTTTATCTCTCCAGTTCTTTGCTAATAATACATATTATACAGTGAAAGTTTCCTCTTTGATTTGTAGTATCTGTTTAAAACTCCTAATGTCTGTGCTGCTGGATAAAATTATAACATGTTAAATGAATAAGAAACAGTTTAGGAGAAAATGGAACCAATTCAAGGCTGTAATGTAATTTATATAATAAATTGTGAGGCCTGGCTTTTGGCACACTTTGTATCCATATACACATAGGAATATACGCCTTGCATGTTTGTCTTTCTCTTGTATATTTTTTCTTAATTCTTTCTTGATAACTATGTGATTTATTGTTTTTATTTTGTATTCAATTAATTGAAAATATACTATATTTGAAAAGTCATGTAAATAAAACTTGTGCTGTTATTCTGTCTATGTAGGAATTAACCACCTGCCATCTTTACTGAAAACTCAGCCCTTCCTGGGTTTATACATGGTGAAAATTGCTGGAAGTTTTGCCTTTTGTTGGTGATACACAGAGTGAACAAAACCCCTTTTCCCTTTCTTTATGAACTGGATTTGCAAAGCTTGACAATAACAAAAGGTAATTCCTTCATAAATAGATTTTGTCTGAGGTCCTACAAAGGAGATTAATAGAGCTTCAACTGAACCTTTTTTAGAAATTAGCCATCTGAGTTAAAATTACATCTCTACAAAATGGCTTTCCAAAATATGTTTTCTTTTAAATGGGCTTTATCCACAAAACAAATGCTAATTTGGTTTGCTAAGCCTTTAGAACAGCCTTTTCCAATCTGGTGTCTTCACAATGTATTGGATGGGAATAACGTAGTAGTATACCAACGTGCTGGCAAGGCACAAGTTAGAAAGGCTACATACGTGACCCCTGATTCAAAGGCTTTATGCCAATCTATTGGTTGTCAGAAAACTTCCTATCTTGGTCTCTGTGCAAACATCTTACCTGCTGGAGTGGTGGGAAGATCTGGGCCAGCAGCAGGTGGTTCCATAGGCCCAGGATAGGGAGGAGGCGGAAGCTGCATGTATCCCATAGCACCATCCATTGGTGGGCCAGGATACAATTCTAGGACAGTAGAAAAAGACAAGTGTAAAACACTGCAAAAACAATTAGCTGAGACAAACCACACTATCCCTGAAATGCTTGCCCTCAAGTTGACCTTTTTAGGTACATTAAAGGGTCCAATTTATTTACAAAGGAACAAGAAGAAGAACTCAGAAACTGACCATATTATATCATTATATGGGTCATGCTGCAATCAGAGCTATTTCAGATATATTCCTGACCATGCCAACTGCTTCCAGCTTATCCAGATTGGCTCCCTTGTGATTACACGGTATCTGAACACTTTCATCAACCTATGAAAGGTATGGAGAAGTACTGGGACAAGGATGAACCATATTATTAGTAGAAACTTCGTAATAACTAAAAGCAAGTGCTTTTGCGCAAAACAAACCTTGCTTACGCTTAACAAGGGAGTTGGCAGTTTGGGTGACATTTGAAAATAGGTAAATATCAGGATGAAAAAGTGAGCCTTACTTGGTTTCCCTACCATATTTCTAAATGGAACATTAATTAAAAGCCGGCTTCTTTTACTTCCAAAACTCACCAGGTGGTGGTGGTGGATAAGGATATCCTGAAGGAGGCGGAGGAGGATACACCCCGTTGGTAGCAAGTGGTGGGAAGGTATAACCCCCATTTGGCATGTAGGAGTAACCATAGGCTCCATTCGGAACTTCACCTCTTGAAGCTAGAAAACAAAGATGAGTAAGTTAATTCAACCAAACCGACAGGAAGTGTTTCAGGAATACAACAGCCAGAAGCCCGACAAGAACCCGACAAGGCAATGGCACACATGAAGTTCACTGACATCACAACACAAATTAAAACCAACAACTAGCAATATCAGTAATTACAGCCAGTGAGTCTCCTACACAGATGGCCCTCAATTTACAACCACTCATTTAGAGACCATTTGAAGTTACAATGGCACTGACACAAGTGACTTAAAACCAATCCTCACACTTATGACCATCAGAGCATTCTGTGGGTGCTTGGCAACTGGCATGTATTTATGACAGTTGCAGCATCCTGAACAGAAGTGGAATTCAGCAGGTTCTGACCAGCTGTGGAGAACTGGTAGCGGAAATTTTGAGTAGTTCGGAGAACCAGTAAAGACCACCTATGACTGGAGATTTGACAGTATCCTTCCCCTGCCACGCCCACAGAACCGGTAGTAAAAAATATCTGAATCCCACCTGAGATGATCTGATCACCATTTGCAACCTTCCCAGCTGGCTTCTGACAAGCCAAGTCAATGGGGATAACAGGATTCACTTAATGACACTTAACAATGACAGTGATTTGCATAACAATTGTAGCAAGAAAGGTTGTGCGACTGCCTTGTTTAGCAATCCAAATTTAGGGTCCCAATTGTAGCTGTAAGTCAAATACTACCCAAAATTATGCTATATTCTTTAGTTCTATCACTTTCTTTTCAGGGTAGGCAACAGAATTTGTGATGCCTGGTGCAATAGGAAAAAAAAATGAAGTCAACAGCATTGCAACCCAGTTCTGGCTTTCTGTTTAAAGGTTTGAATGCACGGGTGTCAAACTCTCCACATCACATTGCTGTCACATGATATTTCGCAACGTTTTCCCCCTTCACAGAGCTGGGGTGGGCGTGTGATGCATCCGGCCTGTGGACCGACCATTTGACATCCTTGCTCTAATGTATCAGATAAAAACAGAGCAGAAATGCAGAAACACAGAGCAAGCAGAACCGCCTAAGTCTAGCATTGAACTAGTTAGTAGAAGAAAACAGGACACTGGAGGAATGAAACTTTTTTCTGTCTCATGAAAGTCAATTTGGTACTAGAAAGAGTTCAGAGGCAGCAGGATGGCCAGAGAAAGGATGGGGTTAACTGGAAAGGTGAGAGGAAAGGCTGTAATTCTATCCTTAGCAGAAAGGAGATCTGAAAACAGAACTGCCAACTGATAATCCATTGTTCTGACCAAGGCTTCCAAGACCGCAATTAAGCACATGCTTAGTTAAAACAAGCCGTTTTATTTCAACGCTGGGAAATATTCATTCCCAGATGTACTGAGTCCCAAACTGTCCCTTGAGATAAGCACCCACCTTTCTCTCCTTTGAATTGCTGCCAACAACAAAAGTGCTGAATGAACTATAAAAAAACCAAGCAAAGTACAAAGTCCACGCAGAGCTTCAAGGATTAATCTGGACAGAACGAACGACTTTGCTTCCTATGAAGATTTCTTCACCTTTGCCTGTCCTTTATACCTTATGGGAGGGGCAATCAGCTCCCAGCCTTACTCCGAGTTGTCCCTTTTGTTTCAGCTGCTCTTGCCTTCTAGCAGCTCTGCGCACACACGCACTGGGAACAGGCTCCCCTGGTTCCTCTGCCTTGCTGCTGCCAGACTCCAGAGGCTCCGGAAGCAGCACCCCACTCCCAGATGGTCCTGGCCTCATCTCTGAATTGGACACAGGACCCTCATCCAAGTCCTCTCCAGACTCCCGGACTGGTCTCCATTCTTCCCCGCTATCCTATTCCGTTGCCAACTGCACAGGCTGCCGGCGAACCACAACAGGTTTAATCGAATAACAGACACAGGTGGACCTTGGCATACAACCATAATTGAGCCCAGGAATTTGGCTATAAATTGTTGCAGTTGTTAAGTGGGTCATCACATGACCTGACTTGATTTTACAAACATTTTTATAATGGTCATTATAAAACCATTATATCATTACAGTTGTTAAACAAACTATGTGGTCACTAAATGAATCCAATGACTGGTTTTTTTGCTTGAAAACAGAAAAAAAAACCCACTGCATCTCACAGTCACATGGCTGCAGGATGCTGCAACCAATCATAAATGTGAGCCAGTCACCAACCACACGAAATGCAATTACGCGATGGAAGAGGGGGAATACCACTGTCAAAACTTTGAGAATGGGTCATAAGTAGCTTTTTAAAAGTCCATCGTAACTTCAAATAGTCATTAAGTGAGGACCACCTGCATTGACAGCACTCATAAGACTTCTGTTGTAAGTGCTAAGCCAAAAGTGAACGCATCCACTGGGGCTCTCATGATAAAAAGAATAATCTTGAGATAGGAATACCAAAATAAGCACTTATTTTGTAATTAGCTTTATTTTAATTCCCTCAACTATTTTAAGTAATCCGGGTATGCATTCTAATCTGAAAGACATTTTCAACTCTTCATCGTGGCACACCCAGATTTCTCTCCCATCAGCCTTTAGCAGATCTTCTTCTGTTATAAATACCTTGAGATGCTACTTGTAACATACGTTGTCCAAACTCAATGGCACCTCCAGCTGAGAATGTCATTTTGAACGTTGCAGATCCTTCCCAACCACCTAGTAAAATAAGACAAGATAGGTGGAAAAAGTAAAATGAGCTTGTCTACTACCAGGATATCTTATAAGGCTCCTGAGATCCTTATAAGGCTCTTCCTGTATCATCTTTTCATTCAGTTTTGGCCTCAGTCGTTTAGTCATGTATAAAAGCAACTTTAGTAAAAGGAAAGCCATGTTCTCTTTTTCTCCTTCTTACTTTCTCCTGCTTTTCTTTTATACAATATATGGCTCAAGGTGGTGAATCCACCAGTACCTAATATTCCTGTATTTTCTCCATAACAACAATTGGGCTGAGAGAGTGTGACTAGCCCAAAATCACCCAGCTGGCTTTCATGCCTAAAGTGAGAATAGAATAGAGAATGCTTTCTAGGCCAGCATTTAACCACTGCACCAATATGCTCTCTACTTGTTGCTACTTTTAAGAGCAGACAAACACTTTCAAACCGTGGAGCCAGAAATAATAATTATTTTTTATTTAGATAATAAAATCTGAGAGCTGCCGGTAGGTTATTCTGATCATTTGCAAATATAAATGTTTCTATCGCTACAAAACAAATATAAAAAACTGGTCACTATTTAATGGCAGGGAGAATTGGGTGAAATCTTTTTTCCATAATAGCTGAGTGAAGTATGAAAGTCTAATTGAGTACTATATATACAATGTAGAATGACGATAATGTTGCAGGGAGATGGATTTTAAACAACAAAAAAGATCCGTGCTTTCAAGAGCCATCAAAATCTAGGAAAGAAAAACAACAATAATTTGCAAAGAATAACATTACACAGATTAAATTTGTTCTGAGCGAGCCAGGGGCAAATTTGATTTGTTAAAACATCTTCGCAACTATTCTTCAGATAGCCAAAAATGGCAACCATGTGAAGTGAAATTAAATAAGAACTAGGAGTTTATCTGGGCTAAAAATTATATGGATTATAGGAAAAATTTAGAGCTGCAGGACTGGAAACAGACCACTAAACATATTATCAACATGGCTGTAGTCCTTTAAATTTGGGAGCTTCCAGAAAAGTAAGAGGGCTGTGTGTTTAGCCCATCCATTACATAAGAGTCCTGTAAATGCTTCTGAATTACTTAGCTGACTTCAACCCCTATGTATGGAAAGCAATGTGATGCCCATGGAGATCCTTGGCATCTGCTAGGCTTCCAATCATCTGATGTGCATTTCAGTTAAAAGAAACTAAATGGGAAATGAACATACTGAAAAGCAAAACTTCAATCACTGCTGTTATCTTTATTTAACAACAAATATATTTGTATTCCATATATAAAGTGGTAGTAATTAAGGCCAAATGCTGGATTTGGAGGTCTGGCTATAAAAAAGTACAAATGTGTTGGGGTGACAAGAAATATCCTGAGGGGTCAAGATATTATGAATTATTTTACCTCCTGGTAAATAGGTGTATATGAGTAGTCACAACCACAGATATTGGTTGTAGCCATTGTTTAATAGTATGCTTTTGAAACTCCAAATGTGCTCATCAGCACAATCAAATCATTGCCCATACACCACCCTAAAAGTAAAACAATGAAAAGATATCAGTATGACCAGACATTTTAAAAGATCCCTTATCTCCCAGCTAGATTGGTAGATTGGATATTTGAAGCAGACTGATACTGAGCGTCACTCAGAAATAAGGCTCTCGGCTCTTTTAATACAATATAAGATGGCATAAATGGACATTGTCATATTTCATTCTTCTGCTAAGACAAACATCATGAGATGGAGCAGGGGAAAAAACTGCTTAAAAGCTTTCACGTCAATTAGATATGAAACTTGAAATCAAATAGAACTGTGCAGCCATCGAAAAGCAACCGAGATAAGAATGCTGCTATAGATTAATGACCTCTGTGGGATCTCAGAATGCTGCTTGTCATAAGCCATTTAACCTAAGCAGATGAAGTACAGTCTGATTTAGCTTTACTATAAGAAATAAAAAAGATGAGATCCATTTTTGTGACATCTTGCTTCACCATACTTAGTGAAAGTAGGCAATGAGGGTGGTTAATGTTTTCATCAGTTTTGAAACTCTTTTAAAAGTTTCCATACTCGGTATAATGATTTGTTTCCCCTAATGCTTCTAGCTGAGCGCTATAGTTTGCGAAGAAGTGTATGTGTAGGTGTGCAAGGGGGGACGGGACTGTTCATGCAAGGGAAATCCAGTCTCGATTTAAGATAAATAAAAATGTTCAAAAATTCAAAATTCAAATAAAATTTGAAATATAAAACAAGAATGCATATTTTGTACGCGTTGGGAGTTCCCCAAAAGTATTATTATTGCCTGCAAGAGGAGACCAGAGTCAGAGAATCGAATGGGAACAATACTGATCTTGGAGGTATCCCTCCCATCAGTTCAGGTACTACGGAGGACCATTCTCTTCTTTAGCATAGACGATTTGGTTTAATCATGACTGAGACAAACATGCTTATTTGGTCTTTTGTTATAAGTAAAGTAGCAAGAAGAGTATTCAGAGTAACAAAGTTGAAAGGGAAATTGGAGGTCTTCTAGTCCAACCCTTTGCCCAAACAGGAGATCCTATACCATTCCAGACAAATGGCTGTCCAACTCTTCTTAAAATCCTCTAACGATGGAACACTCACAACTTCTGACGGCAAGCCATTTCATTGATTAATTGCTCTCACTGGCAGGAAAGCACTGGATACATTATTCCAAATGTGATCTTACCAAGGCAATGTATAGCGATACTAATATTTCAAATGACCTTGATACTATCCCTCTGTCAATGTAACCTAGGACTGCATTGGCTTTTTTGTCCAATAGGGCTTCTAGATCTGACTCACAATTACCACTGTTGAGCAAGGTACCACCTATTCTATACCTGTGCATTTGGTTTTTGTTGCCAAAGTATAAAACGTTAATTTTCTCACTAGTGAACTGCATTTTTTAATATGGCCCAATATTCAAATCTGTCAGGTTCTTTCTAGATCCTGAGCCTATCTTCTAAAGCAAGGTTCTTCAAACTTGGCAAGTTTAAGACATGTGGACTTCAACTCCCAGAATTCCTGAGCTAACATGACTGGAGCAGGAATTCTAGGAGTTGAAGTCCACAAGTCTTAAAGCTGTCAAGTTTGAAGACCCCTGTTCTAAAATATTGGCCATTCTTCCTAGTTTGATGTTGCCTGCAAATCTGATGAGTTCCCCTTTTAACACCTCATCTAAATAGTTTATGAAGATGTTAAAGAATACTGGATATAAGATAGAATCTTGAAGTTCCCCAATGCACACTTCGATGTAGATTTAGTTCCGTTCAGGACTGAATGTGGTTGGTCAGCCAGATACAAATCACCTATCTATCCCACATTTTTGTATCTTACCAAGAAATAGGTTATGGTCTACTTTGTCAAATGCCTTACTGAAGTCCAAATATATTTTGTCCAAAGCATGTTCACCCTCTATGTTCTCTATGTTCACCCCACCGAATACGTTACCAACATCTGTTACTACAATGTATAATTAATTATTCTAAACATTTCACTAGCACAAAGTAATTACAGTACTCACAACTCATTTGTTAATTTTTTTGCAAGTAAATTAAGATGAATTCACAGTTCATTGCAAAGATGATGGAGAATAATTCTAATAATTTGTGAATTGTTTTTTGTAAGAACAAATGCCAAAAACACAGGGATACTTACCTCCTGCCTCTGCTTTTACTACGCCCTTGATATAATTTGCTCCAAACACGGGTTGCTTAATTTCACATTCTTTCATTAAATAAAAGGGCATCATGAAAGACTGCATTGCATCTTTTCCCTTAGATACAAAAATAACCTGCAAGCAAAATGAATACAGATTTTTAATGTTTAGAATCAGAAAAAAAAACCCACTAGATTTCATTGCTACACACTAATAAAATCTCAAATGATATTTTATAACGACCTAATATTTCAACTAATGCTTCCAAATTCTTTGGAAAATAGAAACCAACAATTTATTTGACTGATACTATGAAACAGCAATATTAATCTATTTCTAGATAGCTTTTAAATTCTCAAATAACTCAGCTGATATACAGTATTAATCTAATAGCAAAAGCACTGAGGCTTATATGCTGCTCCATAGTGCTTTATAGCACTCTCTGAGCAGTTTACAATATCAAAGCATTATTTGCATATTGGCCACTACAATCTGGGTCCTTATTTTACTGACCTTGGAAGGATGGAAGGCTGATTCAACCTTGAGCCCCATCACGATGAACTCTTGTTATGAGCAGAGTTTGTCTGCAATACTGCATTCAACCAAAACGCCACCCAGGCTCTTATCCAAAGTGCTCGAAATACCCATCTGCCCATGTACTTTCAAGTTACTGAAGCAATCCAGCCATTCTAGCACCTCTTTTTACTAGCTCCAGCTTGCTCTCCCAATATAATTCTAGTACTGCTTCATATGGCAACTGAGAATACTCAAACTAGCCACTGGAAATGAAAACTCATCATAAAATCATGCTATCCATTACAAGGCCAAATCTTTTTTGTAAGGCCTCAGCCACTGCTTCATGTTGCCTAGAAGATCTGAACTTCAGATTATGGGGCAGAAAAGGTAAAGAAGGGACAAGGCCAGCCTTACAACTACCACCTTTGCTGCTTCTATTTTACAGTTCAATTCATTTTATGTTCCTTTTCATTTGGTTTTTGGATTTACCAAGCATAAAAATGCTAATTCCAAAAGTCAGCCACCTTAATACAATGATTAAATGCAATTGCCCAGTTTTTAACAAAAGGGGCTACATTTATATTGGTTCTCCCATATCAATATAGTTAAACCAGAATACAGAAGGTATTGATAGTAAGAGAAACCTATCAGGAGTTTTAGGATGTTTTTCTCTTTCCAAGTGTGCATGTTAAAAATACACATTGCTGACTTACTCGATACGGAGTCATGAAGACACTGCCTTTCTTGGTCCCTTTAAATGCCTCTGGCATATGTTCCATGTCATGGAAAGTCATTTCAATGTGCTCGTAATTCATCAAGATGCTATACTCCAACAAAACAGACAACAGATACTTACTGTCTAGTCATTCTTTTACATCTAAGACATATATGCTTTAACATCATTGGCACAAGAGTTAAACAAATGCAACCTGTAGATTACTAAATACAAACAGGCACACAATGATTATCAGTGAGTTTGTCAGCAACCCTTTTTGTTGAAAATCATCCCCCCAAAATGAGCCAACATTACTCAGCATGACTAATGCCAAAGGCAGTATTCTTAACATAGCCAAAGCTACTACATATGAAATGACATAATTCAGTAAAAAATTACTTAATTTATTCCACCCAGTTTTAATACTGTAGCAGCAATATCAACGATTCCATCTGTCACTTGGATAGGATTGTTATTTCAATTCATGTATTTTGTGTAGCCTGAATGGAGACAAATTTGCAGCGCTCCTAGTCTTCTACTCTTCCACAGGATTGACTGAAAAAGTTCGCATCAGCCTTTTTCAGTAAATGTTCCTATGCTCTGCAGAAATAAAACTGGAACTCTCTTTGTGTACCATTAATCTATAATCTTTGTTTTTAATGGTGTTAAAATCAGACCTCAGCCTGATCATTTATTATCTTTTAATACTGAAGTCATATTTTCATTTTTATATGCTCTCTTTCATTGCTTCCAGTGAAGAAATATACATAGAAAACTTCGTAATGAGAGGGTATTCAATGTACCCTTCCAAAATGCAACTACTTTTTTGACAAAGGAAGAACAAGGAATGGCAAAAGCATGTTCAGATGAGAAGAACAGGCATGGTGGTAGATTATACTATTTCACCATACTAACATGACCTCAAGAAGCCTTCTAATAGTTTAACTTTGCATTGTAAAAAATTATTATAAGACACTTATGGCATAAGTTCTTTCCTATTGTGGGAATATATATGTTGCTCATTCTGAGGATATTCTTGGAGCTTTGTCAAAGTTTATTTACATCTTTCGTTATATTATTTTGAGTTATTAATTGTTGCTATTAATTCATTTGATTTTGTTTGGATTTGTTGTATTTATTTTTCATGACAATTATAATTCATCTTTTTGTTTGCATATTGGTTGTTTCAATTTACTTGCATAAATATGGAACACCTTTTCTGTTATGGGCGTATTTGTTGTTTTATAAAATTCCACAAGTCAGTACTGATTCAGCAATATATGAATAAAGTTATAAATATATGAGAAATAGCCAAGACAAGTTGGAATAAAAGAGAAATCACAATGTAATTTGGAATATTTACCCTTGTCAGCTTTCCAAAGCTGAAGTATATTGTTATACATTCTGAAATTCATGTTCCCCTTAATGTTACATTTACAAACCAAATGTTGCCACCTACATCCATTGCCAATGTTTCAACTTTTATTCTCATTTATTTTCTTCATTTTGCTATTTATTCTCCCAGTTCTTTGTGGTATTCCTTTAATTTCTTTCTCTAAAAACAGTGTGTTTTTAAAACTCTGGTTTTAAGCTGATTCCTGAGCTGGCTTGCATCTATTGACTTGTCAACTGCTCAGACTGGTGCATATTGCCAACAATGGAAAAAGGTATCTTATATTATTGATATTTACCACTAGCAGTATGATCCTGCCCTAGGTGAAAAGGAATCAGAAAGAAATCTTATTTGTTTTAAAGTATCTTCATGGGAAATGAATTTATTATTTATTTATTTATTTGGTTTGTCAATTGCTTCCAAGATAATAGGTATAAGTAAAACATAGTTATGAATACATGGGTACATATAAGAAAAAATAAAATAAATAAATAAAATAGAATAAGTGAAAGTCTTTGGAAACAAAAAACAAAGACAGTTTACAAAATTATACGAGCTGAGGATATTTAGAAAAACATGTTACGGCTCAGGACGAAGTTCTATTGCACACAATTCTTCAGTTGTTTTTCCATTGTTAGCTAATTTTGTTTTAGTCTTACTATGCCTTCAATCGCACAAAAGCCAAGGCATTTCCAGAAAAATGATCATACTGCAGCATAACAAAAGAGGTCATGATACTCTAAAGACAAGCCTATTAATGATCGAAAGGATCGGGGTACGGGGGAGGCTCCCAACACTAGAAAGAGCAAGAAAGGGCGAGATCGGGGCGGACAGATGGCGAACTTTCTCTCCCCGCCCCCGGAGGCGGGGCAGCTGCGACGGGAATCGGGAGCCGGGGAGTAAAGGGGGAAGAGCCACTGACGCAGTATGCTTAGACCGGACCCCAATGCCGCCCCCAGTACCTTTCGCTGTTATTGACAATGACGCCGCCTCCCTCCGAATGGTTCCTGTTCAGCGCCATGGCCGCTAAGCAACTGATGACTCCTTTCCCCAACACCCGCTGGACTGAGAGGCTCCAGCCGTTAATAAAGCGGCTCTACGCAAGTTCTGCGAGCCACTTCCGGCTTAGAGGAGCTCTAGGCAACGAACAGAACCGGAAGAGGAATAAAGCGATGGGGGCGATGCCAAGGCTTGATGGGAAATGTAGTTCGTTGGTTTAAAAGATGGCTTTTGACCACGGGAAAATTTGCAGAAAAGTGGAAGGGGTGAAGTTTCTAATCACGAGCTTCTGGCTAAATGCACTAGATCAGGGGTCTTCAAACTGGACAACTTTAAGACTTGTGGACTTGAAACTCCCACAATTCTTCCTCCAGTCATGTTAGCTCAGGAATTTTGGGAGTTGAAGTCCACAAGTCTTAAACTTGCCGAGTTTGAAGACCCTTGCGCAAGATTCCATTCACAATAATTGGTGCTTTAGTACAGGGGTCTCCAACCTTGGCTGCTTGAAGACTTGTGGACTTTGACTCCCAGAATTCCTCAGCCAGCTTTTTTGGAGCTTTGCTGGCTGAGGAATTCTGGGAGTTGAAGTCCACAAGTCTTCAAGCAGCCAAGGTTGGAGACCCCTGCTTTAGTAAACGCAACTGTGTAATGTCAGAATAAAGTTTAATGTTACATAATGCTAATGCTAGTCTCTTAAAGTTTTGCTAATTAGATAAAACACTTTCAGATTCTGATACTGCTTATTTCACTTCCTTAAAACTATCCCTGGTGCATTTTGGGTTACTCCTGCATATTTTGGTGAGTGTGTCCTTCTTGGACTTATGCAAAAAAGTATTAATGGGCAACTCTCATAAGATGTTGCAAAAATAAAAGGCAAGAACTTAGGACATATACTTCCAGACATTTAGAAAGATAGGTCACCTTGCAACTCCTGTTCCATCTAGACTGGAGAATATTGAATAAAAACAACCTATATCTGTTACATAGGCACAACTGAAGATTTCAATGTTAAATGGCTTGCAATCTGATCCTCAGAGACTGCTGATTATGCTAGGATCACATCTAGCTATAGCCAGTAAGAGCTGCAAGAGAAATTTTCTGATGTTCCTGTGGGAAGTTATCACCCACTCCTCCCCGCCAAAATGAAATATCCTAGGAAATATTAAAAAGGCAGAATATTTTCTCTAAAAAGAGTAGAAACTCAGAAGCAGAAACTCACCTCAAAAGCAGAAACTCAGCCCCACCCCCACCTTTGCTAATGGGCCATTACTCTGGCCTAGGCCAGCCTATTATACATAACAAAGATCTCAAGATAGAGCTATTAATAGGAATTGTCCAAAGCCCTTTCATTACATCATCATCCAGCAAGGCTCAACCAAGCCTGGGACTCAGGACAGCTGACAGAGTTGCCCCTGCATGGCCCCATGGGAGTCTGACAACCAATCAGAATACAAGTTCAAATTCAAATCCCAACAGAGGGTATAAAACCCAGGCACTTTCAGCATCTTAGCCCCTTTCCCTTCTTTCTTCACCCAAAGCATGTGATCCTGTCCACCATTAAACCAAACTTTCCAAACAGTCACCATGTTTCCAGTGTCTTTCTTCCCCACTTGGAACTGAACCCAAAAGGCTATTTCTTCCAACATTCCTGTCAGAGACTTAATCACAGTATCTGACGCATAAAAGAGGGTTTATTTATTTATTTATTGAATTTATATTGCCGCCTATTTGCCCATGGCGGCTCAAGGTGGCTTACAGAATGTAAAACCATATTTAAAAAACAAAACAATAAAAACTAATAAAAAGAATCAAATAAATTACAATAGAACAAAATCTGGAAGAAAAAAAATCATCCCCCAACTTCCATCTACTCCAGCCTTGACAACAGCAGATCACACAAGCCATTTGATAGGCTCCATCCCGCTCTGGGTTCCCCAGGCTTGCTGGCAGAACCAGGTCTTCAGCATCTTCTGGAAGAGTATTAGAGTGGGGGCCATTCTAATTTCTGGGGAAATGATGTTCCAGAGAGAGGGAGCCACCAGGGAGAAGGCCCTTCTTCTGCTTCCCACCAGGTGTATCTCCCTCAGGGATGGGACCCACAGCATTCCATGCCTCCCCACTCTGATGTGTCAGGTAGATGTGACCGGCCTGTGTTTATTCCTGTGTTGCTCCTAAACCAGGGGTGTTAAACTCGATTTCATTGAGGGCCACATCAAGGCTGTGTTCGACCTTGAGGGCCAGGGGGGGAGTGGGGTGTGGCCATGGTGGACGTGACAAGGGACTTGTGTCAGGGCACCTGTGGTGGCCAGGTGCTAAGGCAGGACTTCACTGAGACCCTCCCTCACTCTCATTATAATCTCCTTCCTTCCATTTCCCCCCCCTTCACTCTTCATTCTTCTTCCTTCCCCTCTTTCTTTATTTTTCCTTCCTTACTCTTGTTCTGTCTTCTGTAATTACTGACTGAATGTATAAAGGCAGATAGATAATTCTACAAAGGCATCCATACAAAGTCTTTTTATTGGTTCATCAGGCATCCTCAAGATAACTCAGTTACATTGAGATTCATCTCAATGTCCATTTTCTGCATAGCTGCACTTTATGGTGTAAAAAGATGGTAATCTCTCATCCTGATAATGATAGAGCAAAGGGTGAAGCACCAGCATGCTGCTGGGGTCCAAGCAAGAGGGAAGAAACCTCCCCCAACCCACCAAGGGTCAATTCAGTGACCAATCATGATTACAGATGTGGTCACATGACATGAACCACATTTCCCAGGATACCTTAACTACATTTACCATGATGCATTCCCTTAAGGGGACAGCTCCCAATTCCTAACTAATTATCCCAAATCCCATTAACTCTAAATTGTCTGGACAGCACAACTCTCTTCCCATCTTTTCTTGTCTTTGCTCTTTCCCTTTTTCCTTTCCTGCCCCTTCTTGCATACTCAAATGCAAAAGGGGAAACATTTCTCTTTTTGTTTTTAGTTTTGATAGCCCTCTGCCAGCCAAAATGGGGCACGGGGCGCAGCCCATTTTTGGCCTGGAAGGCCTCCTGCAGCACTCTAGCAGCCAAAATAGGGTGCAGGGGGGTTTCCAGGCTGAAAATGTGCAACGGGAGCCTGTGTGCTGTAAGAGGTTGTCCAGGCCAAAAATGGGCCATGGAGGAGCCCACACACATCCCTCTCATGCCCCATTTTCACTAGCAGAGGCACTGTGGACCGGTCCTTCGCTATTTGCAGGCTGGTCCTGTGGGCCAGATCTAAGCTCCCTGCAGGCCTTTAGTTTGACACCCCTGTCTGAAGCAATAGAATGCCTTCTTTCTTCCATGATAAAGACAGCTCAGATCATTTTACAACCCATGGACCACATCTGGCCCTTTGGCTATCCCTATCCAGCCTGCATGAGATCAATAAAAATTAGAGATTAAATGTAAATCAATGCCGCCATGCGTACAACTGCATTGCTTTTATTTTGGATGCGACTTTTTTAATATGTGTGGGCATGCATACTGACACATTTTCAGATCTCTACTAGTTCAACCCTCCATAATAGTCCCAGTTTCTTATGTGGTCTCTTGGGAAAATTACTTGCCTACTCTGGCCCAATGCATTTCTAACCAAACTCTTCTAATGAATGCTTCTTTTGGTTTTAATGTACACCTTTGAATTTGTTTGTTTGTTTTTGGATTTTTTAAATTGCCAGATGCTTTCAACGTTCAAGTTAAAATAAAATAGTAAAATAGTTTATTTCAATTTGGCTCATTCCATTTCTTTTCAGAACTCATTCTGTGGTTTATATATAAGCAACGTGTAGTTTGTCACTCATACATGGTTGCTTAGTCATGTGAATAATGATTTTCACTTCCATTAATTCCTATTCATAGTTGTGCTCTTCCCTAAAGGGGCCCTCCATCCATAATATACACAATAATTTGGCACTGATGCCCCATCCTTTTTATACAACCAAGTTGACTTTTGTCTGGCTTGTCTGTAATGAGCAAAAAAATCTGTTGTCTGACACATAACAGAAATAATGTAATTTTCCCATTCAGAGGAAGTTTTGTCTTGTTTCCTGAGCTGATATCTCAGGCAACCCTATCATGAAACCCTGCCTCCATCCTTTTTAGTTTTACAATCTATATAAAAATCCCTATTTCTCCTCTTAGGTTCCTATTATTCTTAATGGGGCAGCAGGCAGTGAAAACTAATTTGTGATACCTTAAAGCAGAGGTCTTCAAACTTGACAGCTTTAAAACTTCAACTCCCAGAATTCCTCCTCCAGTCATGTTAGCTCAGGAATTCTGGGAGATGAAGTCTACAAGTCTTAAACTTCCTAAGCTTGAAGGCCCTTGCCTTAAAGGCTTAAGAACAGAGGTGGGATTCTACCAGTTCGCACCTATTCTCTAGAACCGGTTGTTAACATTCTAAGCAGTTTGGAGAACCGGTTGTTAGAAGAAATTACTGGCCTAATCCTGTAAGGAAGGCAGGAAGGAAACATTCTGGTGTTGCTTACAGAAACTGCCTATCCATTAACCTTTATTACATTCTTGGCAGGACTAGACTTCCTGTCTCTGGAACTTCTCTGGAGTTTTTTTCCCCTCCTTTGCTGGTACTTTGCTTGTGTAGAGTGACCATTCAAACTTACAAGGCACTGAAAAAAGTAACTTATGACCATTTTTCACACTTACGACTGTTGCAGCATCCCCAGTCTTGAGAGGCCAGGCGAGGAGATGTGCGCCTCGATGTGAGTGATATTGAGTTGGCCACATCCAGCCAATATCATGACCACCAAGCCATGTCCACCACCTAAGCCATGCCCACAGAACCGGTTGTTAAAAAATTTGAATTCCACCCCTGCTCAAGAATCATTATTGTATAAGCCTTCTGGTCTACTTTGAATTTCATTCAGCAATTCAAGGGAAGTTTTCAAATTATTTTCAAACCTCCAAATTAAAATAAGTTTTTGAAATGTGTCCTTGCACTTTCCAAACCACTTCCAAATTATCACTCTTTACTAAATAGTTATACAATAATGCAACTTAATTTTTCTAGGTACAGTGTTTTCAGCTGAAGATTGGATAGTAAAGAAACAAGCAAGCTTGAACCTGTCAGTGGTATCTGTGAAAGTGATGATGCCCAATGCACATGGTGATATTATGCAAGTGTTAACCTAAATCATCTTCTAATATCTGGTACAAGCATGTAACTCATGGCATCTGTATGATAATATACATGTTTTTTCATTTGCCATTACACAACTCCCATGGATCCCTCCAACTGTTAAAAAATGCAGCATTTTTATAATGGGAACATATCTTCTCTGCTGTTCTCATTGTGTATAAAACATGCATGCTTATATTAGAAGCTCAAGAGCATATGTAGAGAATACATTTGGCTTTACTCTGGTCATGATGCCAACAAGAATAATCAGGTAATGTCCTCCTCTCCCAATTGCTGCTTCAGTGCTTTGGGGAGGGCATTAAGTTAACCATTAATTAGTGTGAATGGAAAGAGAACAACTCATGGTTTTGAGTGTGCCCTTTTAGCTATCTCAATAATTTTGAACCATTAGATGTCATTAACCAGATTTTTAGTTTTCTCAAACACCAGAATGTACTAGCTCAGTATTTCATTTCATTGTCCTTCAACATTACTGTATGTTTTTACAATAAAAGGGACTAAATCATCTGAAGCAGATTCTGACCAGTTCTGGAGAACCCGTAGCAGAAATTTTGAGTAGTTCAGAGAACCAGCAAATACCAGCTCTGACTGGAGATTTTACAGTATTTTTCCCCTGCCATGCCCACCAAACCATGCTCACAGAACCGGCAGAAAAAAAAACTGAATCCCACCACTGATCTGAAGGCCACATATAGGTAGCAGAAAGCACATGGAACTGTGAGACAAGCTTGACTTTTAGTCTTTGCCACATAGAACAGGCATATATACTGCCAAAGCAAAATAAATAAAAACATATTTTTGTGGTTTGAACTATTTTTAATTCCAGTTTATTGTGGTTTATACCATAGATTTTTATAACAAAATTTCCTGGCTGGCCCAGCTGTGGATAAAATACATTTTTCCAAAGCTTTCTTCCAAACTAAATGCTCCCAGAACCTTGTGTACAAATGAAACCTTATGATCAGATGTAGAAGAATAACTAGGCAAGACCAGAATGTAATGAATGAGAGTTAGGAATATTAATTTTTAACCACATTATGACAAGATTAATGCTGGAGTGTTCCAAAAGCTTAGAACACCTGCTGCATTCAATGGTCTAAGAATAATTATCATGTGATTATAAATGATTTCATGCTCTAAAGATTTGTATTGTTAATCTTTAACCAGAAAATATAAAGGAATTTCCAGTCTGCAGCTTCTCACTGGTGTCTAGTCTACACATTTCCTTTTCATAACATTTGAAGCTCCCTCTCTACTATCAAACTTGGCAGCATGACTGATAAAATATAATGATGTAGTTTCCTGAGAAGCTGAAGCAGATGATTCAAAAAAACCCTACAGTTTAAATCACTTTAACTCATTTTTTAAAAGATCAATTCTTATTGTGAATGTTTTTGAAAAAAGAAAATCCTGTCCCAGCCATATGTATGATACAACTCTATTATTTTGGTAGTATTTGAATCCAATTGAACTCCTCAAATTAAGTGTGGCCTTGCTACCATCAACCAGTGGTTCAATAAATCACAAACTATAGTACTGTGGTGGCAAACCTAGGGTATGTGTGTCACAGGCGGCACCCAGAGCCCTCTCTGGGCACACGTGCCGTCGCCCCAACTCAGCTCCACCGCACATGTACGCGTGCCTCCCACCAGCCAGCTGGGCTTCGGGTCTCAGCCACGCATGCGGGGGGCATGGGCACATGCAGGGGGTGCACACACACGCGAGGGGGCTGCCTTGCATTTTGGGTAGGTGTACACGCATGCGCACATGCTTTGGGCACTCAGGGTCTAAAAGGTTCGCCATTACCGCCATAGTACCTACCCTCCTTACAATAGCTGCATTATAAAAATGAAGGAACTTAAGTATCTACCTCCCCTAACTGGGATCATCTGCATGTAGATCCTCTCCTCACAGAACTGTGCCTTCTGTCCTGTTGGGGACAATGAAATCCTCTCCATCATCTTGAGAGCCCCTCTGTCAAGCTCTTCAGTGGTAGTTCCATCTATTTCAGTGACTATCTATCTTTAAATATTTAAAAAGTCCTAATTTCAAAGTGGAGTGGATTAAGTACTACTTTGAGTTTCTTACAAATTCAAATGCTCATGATCTATCTTTATTAAACCCCGTAACCTTCCTAACATTAATTAATTGTATATAAATTTAAGATACTAGATTCCAACATGCAGTTCAATATGCACATCATGTACATATCATTTTTCTTTTATAGAAAGATTGTAAAAATCTTCTTTGAAAAAAAAGAAAAGGACACAAGACGTGTATTTCAGGACTATGCTGCAGTGCTTTCATTAACAGAAGGATACACAAACAAAACTATAAGGACCTCACATTTTTTTAATGAAAGGCAGGAACATTTCAGTGAGGCCCAGCAGCAAAGAAAAGTACTCTTACTAATTTCATGATTAATCAAATCTACTATACTTTCAGTTTGGATACAGGATATAATGAAACAAAATACCTTTTGGAGACAAATAATGTGCTCACTAATACTGCAAAACCCTCTTGTAACAATATAATCCTGAGATCATAGAATTAATGAAGTGGGCCAGCATTAAATTAACGCTTCAAAGAACAAAATTATCCTGTGATGGCAAAAAAAAATCTTGTCTCTAAACTAATTTTTCTCCTTGTTCAGTCATAATTTACATTATGAATGCTCATCTTCTAGAAAGAAAGGAATCCAATGGATGGCTTATTCAAACTCAGCTGTTAATCCTGTTCTAAACAAAACAACCTTAAAAAGTCACAAAGCAGTTTTTAAAAAGCCTAAGCTTAACATAAAACTTGGCTCTCCTCATATGTTAACTTGAAATCTTTTTCTTTTAAACAATAGCAGCTAGAATTTCCTCGTCCCTTCTATCAGCATACCTAAATTATGATAAATTTATAAATGTTTACAGTGTCCTCTTAGCATATTTGGAAAGGATGGATTTTATACACTTTGTATCCTTGTTACACATGAAAGTTCAATTTCCATTCTCCAATGGTCTTTCTTCCATGGATCTGTATTCAAAAGACAGCTAAGAAAAGCAGAAAATATCACAGAAGAAGGAATCTGCGGTCCTTCAGAAGCTGATAACCCTCAACTTCCATCAGATTCAACCAGCCAGTTACTCCAGAAAGCCATCAAATCTCCATTTTTGTAATACTTCTGTGCCTGTAAGATGCTGTAAGGAAAGGGGAAACTTGCAACCTCAGTGCTTACACATACTGCTCTATTGTGCAGGTACTCATCTCTTGAGTAGCTGACATTCATATCTGCAACTCAGTTTCCTTTGTACTTTTTAACCCAATATTAATAAATGGGCACATGTAGCATTAAAGCACAGTGTACAGAGTATGCAATGTGACCGGGATGGAAACATGCAGGAACCATTGCATAGACAAAAGTGACAAGTACATTTTAAAGTCCAAAACAAGGAGATAACATTTGGAAGCAGCTCAGGCAGATGGCATCCTAATTCACTGAACTACAAAGAAGTGATGGTATATTACAATCAGACTTGCAAGACTCAATTATTGTAGCCGATCTCAGTAAAAATTGTATCCTTCCTTTGGAGATCAGTTCCTGAACTGGTCTACCTAGTGGGGCTGACACACAGCCACAGATGCTTCATTTAATTTCCAAATTATATTTCTAATATTTAGACTAGAATTTAGATTTAAGCTAAGAATAAACTAAAGCTCCACAAAGCCCCATAGTTTTTCTTGCTATTGTAATCCAAAGCTGAATATATTTGTTCATATGTCATTTGCTCTGCTGACAGCTGACACCACAGTTTTCTCCACAGTAGGTTTTTTTTTCTTTTTTTCAAGCGCAATGGAAAAGCAGTATTCATCTAGCGACATTTAATAACTAGTGATGGCCTTCAGCATACATTTTTGATCAGTGGTAGTATTTTTTATGTCTGCTATTATGAGGATGGGTTTCCATGATACCATTAATGTTACTTGTGAAACAGAGCAGAATCTCTGAAGATACCATTGGTTCATATAGATGAAGTGGAGATAGTCTTTTGCTTTAGATCAAGCCTTTTGTAAATGATCTCTAATTATGTCCAAGAGAAGAAAATGTTTTGCTGAAAAGTGCTTCTTTAAATGTTGATATTTATCAAATAAGTAAAAAAAGCAGCAACAGTATTCATCAACACTAACTCAGAAAGATGACGCAGTGCTCCAGCACAGATGTCACAAACATGCCAAATTATCGGCGCTTAAGTACTGAAACACAGTCTTTTTTCAAAGGCCCGAGCTGCATGTGAGCATCTACACTTTCGAGAAAAAAGGCTGGCTTGAGGTTGTGTGTGAACAGTGCTGGAAACTGGTGGTTGATCTTATTCTGGAAAGGGTCAAAATGTCCCTTTTTAAAGCGAGCCACTTTGAACTGCTGGAGACAAGTCATCTTGGAATCCTTGACTCCATAAAATGTCAGCACCTTCTCTGAATACTCCAAGTACACCCCAATAGTATGAAAAAATGACTGCTGTATAACACAGTCAAATCCGCCAAACCAGGCAACATAGTTCTGGCCGTTCCATTGCAGACAGCATGACTTCTCATTCCTGCCTAGGCGGCCCCGGTCATATGATTCCTGGGGATGGAAATCTTCAGTGATGATGCCAATGCTCACCCAACCATCTATGATTTCCACTTCCCAGTAATAGTTGCCACGGTTCATAAGATTCTCGCCCAATACTTGCTCACAGTTGATGAATCTGGTTGAGGTCTCAGGGTAAGCGATGGGATTCAGCACACGCTTAGCCCCTTTGGTCCCAAAGAGTTGGATGAACTTGTCAGCAGTATCACTGTCCAAGTCAATGATGAATGCAGCTGTACAAAAACAAATATATAAAAAAACTTAAAAATGATAAACAAGGAAGGCACATGGCATAAACATGCCCCACTCCACAAAAAAACAGTGTTCTCATATTAAGCCATGGCTTGATCAATCTTGATTTACCAAAGGAATGTTTAGGAGCCCATATTTAATATTTGAGGAGGAAGTTAGGACTTCAATTAGTGGAATACTGAAGCAAGATGGCTATGATGATCTTTGTGTTTGTGTGTGTGTATGTAGGTAATATTTGCATTTTCAGAATGGCAGGAACGTTTATCTTAAAATGCTAGTTACTGTAGTTAAAATATTCATATACTACTTCCTATTTAGACATTTCAAAGTGGTCTACACTAAAAATCACAAAATAAAAGAAAATTAGGTAACAAAACTAGGTTAAAAACATACCTTTAAATATTATAAAATGCTATAGAGCCAAAAAAGAAAAAAGAAATATAGTATCTCTGGAGACACTGCTGCTTAGAATTTTGTATGACGTTTCAATCCATAAAAAATGACAATAAAGCTTATCTTATGAGCCAATGAAAAAGGCATGAAAACCATGGAGAACAATACAGAAAACAAATGGCCTTACATTTGAGAAAATAATCTCGCGATTCCAAACTGGCAGGGTTGATGCTCCTTTCTGAAACCTGCGGTTCAATTGTCACTGTGAAAAGAAGAATTTGTCATCAATATGTACTGTCAACATTGCAGACAGAACTGAAAATATCATCACCGTAAAAAAGCCTTTTGTCCTAAAGCAGTAACTTTTTCCTGGTTTTAGAGGAAGGCAAACTGATATTCAGCTAGATGGAGGCACATCTTCTTATTCTGTGATCTTCATAGAACATATATAGGCTTAAAAATCACCTGCTGCATAAAACATTTTTAGGAATGAAGGCAGATATATGTGTCCCAGTGTAATGTTGCAGAATGCAATCTGGGTCGGTGAGATTCACTTTCTGGTGAGAGAGAAGTTCCCTGAGGTTGGGCTCCAGCATGAATCTGAAAGCTTGGAAGACTAAACCTCTGGCCCCACTGACCAATCCAGGTTGGATCATGAAACGTTTTTAAACTGATAATGCATCACTAGAGAACAATTGCATATGTTAACATAAGATCTAGCACTATACAGTACTGTGCATTCTGTATAACTGGTAGGGATACCAGCAGAAAACTCAGCTGAGCTGGCAGGTTTTCCTTGTTTCTACAAACACTCATCCTTTTCTATATTAACATGCGCAACTTTTTTGGACTGGGCATAAGTAGCCGAGCCAGTTTTCAAAGGACTCTGTGGGTTACTACCAAGACCTTGGGGGAATCAGGAAACTCTAAAGTATTTATGGGAAATCTCCATATTCCCTGTTCAACTTTGTGCTATGTGATCATACATTGTCTCTGGCAGTTAAAAGAATTGCTAAGCTGGGTTTTTTTTTTTTTTTTTGAGAACTAAGGAGTATGGGGATGTCTTGAAGAAGATAGTGGCAAGTGTTGGGAAAACATGACCTTAGCGTGGGAAAGACGAGAGAAAAACTCAAGACTCTTTTTAATATAAGAGAGCAGGGATGAGAAATGCCAGGCTTTCAAGCGTCTATTAATACAGCCTACAGTATATCAATAGAGATCTATTCTTTCTTGTGCTGCCGTTTCCCGACCTGGCCTACATCCAAGGGCTGACACAGGCTCTGTGGAGTTTGCATGGAAACTGTTTTTACCATTTGCAGAAAAAGAAAAAAAACAACAACCCTGCCTCACCCTGATTTTTGCTTATTGGCCTGAGCAGATCTCTGAAAGAGAAAAACAATTCTTTCATAAGCTCCATTTCCATTTTTTTTGGTTTTGCATATGATCAAACAAATGTACAAAACATGATGTGGGGTGGGGTGGGAGAGGAATGCAAGCATTTTATTTGCTTTCAGGGAAAAGCAGTGATTTTCATCCCTGATGTGTATCTGAGTTGTTACAGCACTAAAGTGATTTATGACTGCTTTTCACACTTACGACTGTTGCAGCATCTCTATGGTCGTGTGAGCAAAATTCAGATGCTTGGCAACTGCTTCATATGTATGACAGTTGCAGTGTTCTGGGAAAACTAGATACACCTAACCACCATGTTACTAACTTAACCTCTGCAGTGATTCACTTAACAACGGTGACAAGAAATGTTGTAAAAAGGGGCAAAACTCACTTAATGAATGTTTCACTTAACAGCATAAATTTTGGGCTCAATTGTAGCCATAATTCGAGGATTACCTGTAGTTTCAATGTAATGAGGTTGGGGAAGGTAATAATGCTGGCAAGATGTCAAAATGACAGTATATACTGTAATAAGCTCTGGCAGTTCTTTTAGATTTTTCTATTTAACTCGCTGTGAAAGATAAGCATTTGTTAATTACCGTTAAAATCCAAACTTCCCTGCCAGCGGCTGTCAGATGCAGAACAGCTCTAATGTAATAATGTTTTAAACAGCTGCACGAAGAAAACACAAACAACTAAGATTTCAAACTTAGAAATGAGCCAGCAATCTTCATCTGCAACTGAACAAGCAACATGAGCTTTCAGTCTGGCAGGGTAAGAGTCTGGAAATCAAAAACTAGCAAGTAAAAAAGCTTTTCCTGTTCTGTTATTTCAAGGACACCAGCTCTGGATATGTTTCCCAAACCACGAGTAACCACACCTAGAGATGTCTGTTTGTTGCCTGTTTATATATTCGAATCATTTTTTGAAACATCTGAGTGCTATTAAAAGCCTAAATAACTAAGACTGCTGAGAGTCTTCGTATCTTGCGTTTTTTGTCAGTTGCATCTCTTCACAACACTTTTAGATGATGCTTATTTTGCTTCTTTTCAACTTGAAAGGCCAGCATTTCATTTTGATCTGCTAATCACAAATGCTAACTCAAAACTGTTTTTGTGCCCCTTCTATAGTGCCACAGGGGACTTAAGAGATATAAATTGCACCCACTGGTTTTGCATATCCTCCCCCATTGAAGTTCTAAAATAAAGACTTATCAAAACTCTACAGAATAGTTTACCATAAAAAGCAAAGTTTGCATGCCACTGTTGCACAAGAAAAAAAGAATTAGGTACCTTCAGAAAAAAAAATCAGAGAGTAATTTGAAAGTTATAAATATGAAAACTCTGAAAAGTTGCAGGAAAGAAAAGAAACAAGAACCTCACAGTAACAACAGTTGACAGATATGTAGATAACAACAAAATTGACATCTTAGGGCAAGTAGCATGAACACTTTATCAGAGTGTGCTAAATAAGCCAAGAATTAAGTACGCAAACCCAATGAACTAAGCCAAACTGAATAAATCATACTGTGGCTTAGCACAGGGGTCCCAGTCCCCAGACCATGGCCTATTTGGAACTGGCCCACTGCTCACACAGCCCAGTTCCCCTCTCCCCTCTAGCTGGGCCACCAAGCTATAACGGTTGGGGACTGCTGGCCTAGCATAATGGACAGACTGAGTGAATGGATGCCAGGCTCCATGGCTGACATAAATCTCCTATTCCACAGCCATATAGATCTGGTACTTCAGATGAAGGGCAACTCTTGAAGGACAAGATTTCTGCCCACGTCTCAGGGTTCCTTCCATTATGAGATGGGTGGCTATAAAAATTCAATAAATAAATAAACGACAAACCTTCTGATATCCCATGATGAAAAGGTCCATTCTCACCCTTCCCTGACAGTTGGTCCCATTGGTTCTTGCAAATATTTCCCAGCAGCTCCTTCACAGCAAACACGGCCTGACTGGATTTAATAAAACTCAGTTCTCTGGGGAAGTTTGAACACGCAAGGTTTTTTTCCTCAGCTGCTATTTTTAATGCCTGGAATTCCTGGTCAAGAAAACAAACAAAGTTACAGCAATTGTTTGACTATAAGGTCTATTCAGCAGATACAACTCTTCTCTAGTCACTAACATTTAAGGCTCAAAACTCAATACAGATATGGCAGGAGTCTGAAGTGGGGGGAAGAAGGGGTACACAACTCTACTGGCTATAACTACTGGCATACTCTGTTCCTGGATCATCATCTGGAACAGCCTCAAATCCAAGAGAGCCTTCTCCTGATATTGTATGGCCCCCTGTCTCCAAGAGTGAAAAAAATGAGAAAACATTTCTCTAGTAGAGATCTTGGTGGGAATGAACATGTGATCTTGGATGAATAAAAAGCAGACAAGTGATGGGAGAATACAGTAAAAGAAAAGCATTCAGGACACATTCACCCACTCCTATGGAACCACTCCCTGGTAGACACAAACTATTAAGCATAGCATCATTAGCCCTTTATATTAAAGACAAGTGCATATAGCTGTTGCTGTCCTATGACTATATTGATGGAGACACCTGGATGCTATTTCACATACTGGGCTTTTTAGGTACCAACCAAACATATTTGTACTATGCAAATAGATGCGGGTATGGAGCTGGCTCTTGAGCAAGAGCTCCATAGTTACTGCTGGACTTTCTCCAAGGGGAACTGATGCATCCTGAGTGCCCAGGTGGAGAAGAATACAATGAAGCCTATGCTGTCTCTCTACTGGCAACTGAATCACCTACAAAAATAATTCTTGGAGCACACCTGCAGAAAAGTGATGGTGTCTGTGCTGGGGACTTTCTCCAGGTTCAGCTTGTGTTCCATCAACTTGGCATGTCGCTCTTCTTTATGCCGCAGCTCCTCCTCTGCTCCACCCAGCATGGCTCTTTCATCAGCCTCAATGAAACCAAGCACTTCCTTCCTAAAGGTTGCCAGGACCTTGCTGGCCTCGGCAAAGAGATTGGTGACCTTTTCCTTCTCTTTCTGAGCAGTAGCCTTAAAAAATAAAGATGGATTTATTCCAACAAAAATCTTCTGTCATATTATAATTGCTTAAAATGCGAATAAACCAAGCTCCCATCCCAAATAAAAACAAATGAATTATCATGTGAAACCTACATTTAAGAAGTAGCCTGAGAAAATACAATATGGAACGCATCAAAAGAATCATTTTTAAAAATTACTAACAATTATAGGGACAGTAGGCAATCAACAAGTTTTACCCTGCTTTCGGTTTGAGCTTCTTCGGCAACAGACAGAAATCTGCGATCGTGCGTGGTTTCGGTCTGGGCTCGCTGCTGGAGTGCCCCGAGCTGGCTGGTTTTGGGGCTAAGCCACCCTGTAGAGGTGGTAAAGAGAGCGGAGACTGCCAGCAGGGTTGAGGAGAGCCGCATCTCTCCTCCTCAGCTGGCCATTACTCCCTTTCCTGAAGGCGGTTGCAGCGGTGGTCAGAAATGGCCACCTCAAAGAAGAACTTGACTGGAAAAGAATGTGCAGGAGGAAGATAAGAAGTGAAAGTTTTGGCTGACCGGGTTAAATTGCAAAAGCAACAACTAAGGTACCCTGGAATTTAAACTAAAAAAAATAACATCGCACCCAAAGAAGAGTCTGAAGCAGCGAAGGAAAGTGAAAAGGGAAAGGTTTGGGTTTTTTTTTCCTTCTCTCCCTTTCCCTATACTGACAATTAAGAGACTTAAATAAGAAATCGGGGGGGAAATCTGCTTTGACATCAACAGGCAATTAAGCTGAAAATAAAACAAAATGTCAAAGGGATAATAAAGATTTCTGGACACTAAAAAATTTTATAAGCAGGAAAGGAGAGAAAAAGAATAAAAGGGCAGGATCTGGAAAAAAGGGAGGAGACTGCCTAGAATTAAAAGGAATCTACAGTAAAACTTCAACAAGACTTCTAAAAGATACATTTTAACTGGGCAACTAAATAGTAGAACCCCAGGAAGAGAAAGTGAAAAAAAAGCAAAAAAGAAACAGCTTGCGTATATTTGGATTACTTGGTGATCTTTGGATTCTTGGTTATTGCATTTGAATGACTAAAATTAATCGGGTGGTCGTTTAAAAATTTGTACAATGGCACTACTTCTGGATGAATTGAAAATGGAACTTAAAAAGTATAAACAAGATGCACAAGAAAGGAGAGGCTCTTTCGGCTTCATTTTTCAATTCTTAGAAATGGAGATTTGGAACTATGAGAAACAACAAGAAACGTCTGCAAAACAAGAAGACTGGGACAAAGAAGAAGCCATCTTTAATGAACAAGTAATTCTATGTGGGGAAGAAAAAGGAAAGGGGGGAAAGAGAATGAAGAATTTAAGACTTAAATAAACAACCAAAGAAAAGAAAAATAGTTCAAAAAATAAGTATAATATTGGAAGGCAACAGAAGAGGGGAATACAGAAGAGAGAAATAGAGGTAGAGAGACAAGGGGGTAAAAAGGGGAGAGAGAAGAAGAGAGGGAAGAAGGAAAGGAAAAGAAGGTACAAAGGACAGAAACAAGATATAGAGAAACAGGGCCTATTTAGAGATAATGGGTGAAAAATTAACTGAAACAGGGATTCTGTAAAGGTACATAAGATTGTATTGTTATATTAGTAACAGAAATAACTTTAGAAAATTGGAAACAATGTATGATTAAAATGAGGGATAAAATAGTTACTGTAATCTAGTGACATGTTAATAAAATAAATGAAATAAAATAAATGAGAAAATTGAATTAGGAAGGAACGGGAACATTTTAATTAGTTAATGTTTTATAAAATATAAGTGGGGGGGATTAATTATGGAAAGCTTATAACTGTTCCCATAGAAGTATGATATTTAATTGAAAAGTAATGTTAAAGAAGTTAAAACTTTAATGAATATTAACATTAATGATAGAATTGAATTGGAATGGAATGTGTTGTTTTAATTACATATATTTATAATCTTTTTTTTAAAGAATATAGTGTGTATTTTAAGAACGTACCAAGCAGAATCCGAATGGAAGTTATGTATTATATTGAATGTTATAACTTTAAGGTATATATTGAAGTCTAAATAAGAGTTAAGTGGATAAACTTAAAAGGTATAAACGTGTCATACTCCAATCAGCAACTACAGGAGAAACTTTGTTTAATGAGAAAAGATAATATGAAATTGAAACAGGACAGACAAAAAGGATAAATATAATGATTTGAATTGAGATGAGATAGTTAAAATAAAATTGAGAAAATTAAAAGAGGGGAGAAGCTATGTAGAAAATGTAAAATAGTAATAAGATATGGAATAGAACATAAAAATGAGCATGAAATTGAATTTGTGTCTGTACGAAGAAATGTAACCCGGGATTACAAATAAAATTTACAAAAACAAAAAAACAAAAAACAAGTTTTACCCTTTCTCTCAAACTCTACACTGAGTTTTGGCTATTATAAAGAAATCAGGAGAAGTGACTCAGCCAACCAATTTGCTTAAGGTTCTAGAAGGCTTTCCACTAGTACAGCAATGATCCAGGAGGAGCAGGGCTGAAGATTTAGTGAATTATTTTTTTACAGCTTTCAAGCAGGTTAAAGAGAGGAATGGGAACAGAAAGCTTCCTCTTCAGATTCCTAATCAGAGAAAAACTATGCAAAATTACCAAATTTTATAGATTTGGCGCTTCATTTGGGGAAGTTTATATGGGTAAGAATGAGGGGCCTTTATTTCCTAAACAAGAAAAAGGGAGAGGGGATACAAACAGTTGAAATTCAGTTATTTTCCTGCCAAAGTTAAGACGAACTATCTTCAGATGCCATTAGCAGCAGATGGAGTGATGGAGGATTGTATGTAACCCATGAAATCACCTTTACTTTTCAGTGATAAATACCTATCTCATCCACTAACTTGGTTCTTGGATAAAGGAGAGTTTTTCCTTAAAACCGGGGGATTTCATTCTGGAGAAGAAAAACATAAGCTGCTTCTCCCTGAAAATTTTTATAAAAGTTGCTTCTTAAAAAGTTTTCTAAGAGTGTATTTAGGGCTGTACCTCTTGGCAAACTGAGTACAGCTAAGGTCTTTGTGTGTTTCATTTCTTTCCTTGTCCTTCAGACTCACACACTTCTTTTCCATCCCTCATTTTAATACTTTTTCCTAATTCAATTTATTGTGCTGTTCTGTTTGCAAGCTGCGGAATATTGCTGTGGAAAACCTAAAACTAGCATTAAAGTGGAATGTAAATGCTGAAAAAAGAAGAGAGGGATATGAGAATACTCCCCATCTCTTAATGAAGGCTAAGAAACTGGAAGAAGTTTTTTAAAAAACCCAACATGGCTGTTCTAGAAATACCGCAAAAAGTAGCAATTTGGAAATGGAATGTTCTGGAATTATCAGGAATATTACATTCTCAAATTGAGGGAATTTTTTTTGCAAAGTTGTAGAGTTTTGCAATTTCTAAGGAACAGCATCCAGTCCTGACTACATTTCATAAGATAAGGAATCTTTTTCCCTATCATGAAAGTTATCCATGAACTTTATCTTTGCCCTACAGTACTACTTTTCTACGGATATGGGGCCCCCTACTCCAAGGATCAAACATTAAGCACTGTCACTATCTGCTATTCAAAGAAAGAAGCCTCATGTGATTCTGTTGCATTTGTAATTTAGTTCTCAGGAAAGATTTGCATAAGAAACGGTGGAGCAGTACATTTGTTTTCTATTTAGATGTGAATTAGTTAATACAGAAAATTATAGAAAATATATATAATCGCTTCTTGAAAATAGCATCCCTCACATTTTCCAAATATGTTGGGACTGTGGTCTCTAGCATCCTGACAGTTGCCCCCTTCCTGAGGGGAAGGATGGCCTATGTTTGCTACCTCTTGACAACAGACAATAAAAGAAGGAAAGTCTGTGGAAAGGAAAGGTTTGAGAGGAGGGTTCAACATTTTGCTTTTTACTGGGGAAAAATAAATGTGGTGAAATACTTTGATGAGGTCGACCATCCTCTTCATCTGCGCTATTGAGGCTCCCAGTTCATCCAGCTGATTTTCAATATTGTTCAGGATTTTTGGCCTCTGAGCCTTTCAGGCAAGAAAAAAAAAGGAGAGAGAATCAGAATCTCAACTTTACAGAAATTTACATTTCACAATCATCATGACTACACACATATGTTATAACTGTCCTGTTTTTCTAAAGATTAAAATAAACCCATTTATCTGGAGGTGCAAAATGCAGTCAAAGGTCAGGTGTAAGACTGCATTTTCCATTGTGTCTCATCTTTCTCTATCCCTAAAGTCCTTATTATTGCTTATATACACAACCAACTGCTCTTAAGCTCTTTCTCAATCCTACTTATTTTGTTTTTAAGTAATACAAACATAAAACAAAACCTCTGCCTGGTGAGCAACTCAAAATACACGGAATTGTTTTAGAGTTGAAGTCATGATTGTCATGAATTACTTGGGCAAAAAGCATCGTTCTCCTCCCTACAAGGCCTTTAAACCAGGCTAAATTTCCTCCTCCTTTATCGCTCAGTATTTGTCCTATATTCTGATTGGAATTGAAAAGAACAAGTGCTGCATTCAGACCCCCTTCTACTCATGAGACCATGTGCTGGACTGAGATAAAGACCAGACCGGGACAGAGATAAAGACCAGTCCGAGTGGGTTGCCCTGAAAAAGAACAATTGTTGCATTATCAAGAAAGAACCAGGGCAGAATGAATCAGCACCCCTTTTCTTATTAAAAAAACAAGGAAATCAGAGTGGTAGGGAAGAGAGCTTATCTGCTGATGCCATAATAACCCACGGATCACATAAAACAAAGCCAGGGGAGGAAAAGAAAAAGATTAAATGGTAAAGCACTCCAGCCTGCCCTTTTCTTAAACAGATTCTGAAAACACAACTGTTTCCCAGATCGGTGTGACCAATGTGCTCCCTAGTGATATGTGCTAGCTACATATGTGCTAACTGCTATCATTAAAATAGTACGGGGGGGGGGGGGGGGAGAGAAAAGTCATGTTTGCTTGATATTGGTCTTGCTTGAAGATAAGACTCCCTGGGGATCAAATTCAATTATGCGTTTCTTGGAAGTAACAGGGACTCGTCTTGCCACTGGATTTTCTGTTCAGTCCTGGAATTTCCTGGTGATTTCCCATCCCAAACGAAACTCTGTCCCTTGTTTTACTTTTCAACATCAGCCAGAATTAGCTGGGTGCTGCCACCTGTTGTGCATGGGGGGTGGGGGGGGGAGAATTCTGAAGAATCACTTTTAGGTTGTTTCTGTATGTGTTATACGGTATGCATGTTATATTCATTCAGGAACTACCCAAATGCTATTTCAGATTTATCTTTAAACTAAGACAACTTATTTAAGCCTTTCCAAGTGCAGTCATCTCTGTTTTTCAGCCAAAAGCCATCTATTTTTGCCAAACAGGAAAGCTTTGCTTCCTCTGTTCCACCAGGAGCGATAACATTTTATTCCAGCGAGAAAACAATTAATTGTTCTGTTCCTTTTCATTCATCGGCCCCAAACTGCTTTGGTTTCAAAGCTGGAGGCAATTTATGGTTTGATGGCTTAGAAAAAAGAATTGGTGTCTAGGATACAAAGGATTGCTTTATTTCAACTAAGAAAAGGGTCCACCTATTCCAGTAATGCCTACCGTAATTAAAAATGGATTTTCACAGCCTGATGGCAAAGTCTTTCCATGAGTTGCAACTCATGTTTCTATAATTAGAGCTGCTGGATAAAGAGCCCAATAACTTCTACGTGTCAAAGATATACAACACCACTGAACTTTTAGTTTGCTCATGGTGGGCAAATAACTATTGGCTGGAAGAATCCAGCCTCTCTTGGAGGATTTATCTGAATGGAATCAGGGATGCAGAAAATATAAATAGGCAATTTATCAGACAAATATGAGAATCAGAAACAAGGAAAAATCTCTTCTCCTCTGAGACGGCAGCACTGCAAGAGATTATACAGTGTTTGAGAGTTTAACATATAAATTCTGAATTACTGTTTCTCCTTGTTCAGGGCCAATCAATTCTCTAGCTCCTAGGTACCATTAGAGTGATAATCTAATTATGTTTGTCTCAGTGGTAGCCAAGCAGTCTATAGAAGAAATAATAACCACATGACCCCTGAATTCCCTACGTTTGCCTGCTTTCTTGCACGTTTCTGCTATCTGAAGTGAAAATGAAGTTTTAAAATTAAGATTTTAAATATAGCTTAAACATAGTTTTTAAACATAGTTTAAAATCCTCAATCTTTCCAAAAAACTAGAAAAAACTCTGAGCCCTGGAAAATCCTACTTATCACAGTAGCAGTTATCATAGCTGTGTAATTTGTGTCATGGCATTATCCGCTGGGATCCTTTTTCACCAATACTATGATAACCACAGGCATTTGCTACAGCCTTCAGCAGTCTCTTCAACTGTAATATAAGCTGATTATTATATATATATATATAAAGCAGGTGATTGATTTTCAAGTATCACACCCTTCCAGGGGTGGGATGCAAATATTTTTACTACTGGTTCTGTGGGCATGGCTAGGTGGGTATGTTTTTTTTTTCCAGCACACACCCCTGCGCTCCATATTTTGCCTCCTGGGCCTCAGGGAAGCCTCCTGGGAGGCCAAAAATGGAGCACAGCCTCCCAGGAGGCTTCCCTGAGGCCCAGGAGGCAAAAAAAAAATGGAGCATGGGGGGCCTGGGCAGCCATTTTTGCTCCCAGAAGGCTTTCCTGAGGGCCAGGAGGCCAAAATGGAGCGTGGGGGTGGGGGCACAGCACACACACACACACGTGCTCTGTTTTTTTTGCCTCCTGGGCCTCAGGGAAGCCTCCTGGGCAAAGCAATAAGACAGCGAGGAAGATCCTGGAACAACTGATTGTCAGAACAGCTGATCATCGGGAGGAGAAAAAAATACTTTACGGAATGACTGGGTGACACGGGGCGGGCGGGGGAGAATGCAGTCAGCAATGCGCGTGACTGACTGGGTGGGGAGGGGCACGATTTGCCAGTTCTCCCAACTGGGCAGAATCGTAACAACCAGTTCTATAGAACCAGTCCGAACTGGCAGAATCCCACCCCTGCACCTTTCCCATCATGACCTTATATTTTTAGAGCATAATTCCCAACATATCAGCTAGTCTGCCTGATGAGCAAATTCATCTGGGCATCCAATAAAGTAGAACGCAACGATATACGTTAGGAGTGGTGAAACCAATTTTCTTCTCTATATATCTATAATGACTGCCTATTTCCACTATAAAGGTTATAGTGGTTTTCATCACTGTGAAGGAATACTTTCACCTTCCAAGGATGCTGGAACAAAACTCCAAAGTGACTGGAAAGAAGGCATGGTAAGAATTCAGGGAAATTCAGGGATGATGTGCTGCTTAGTACTTCTGCCATAGACTGCTTGGCTACGCCCAGACACAAAACACATATACTAGTCTACATGGGCTTCTTGATGAAAGATTATATCACAATACTTAAGGCATTTGAAATGGTTCATTGTAGCTTATGAATATTTGTAGGCAATGCTCCTTTCCAGTTTTTAAAAACCATTCCACTTCCCAAACAATTATAATTATGCTGTATAAAAATAGTGCAAGTATGAAAAGAATCCCAAGTGTTACCTTCTAACATGCCTTCTAAATGCACCAGGGGTTGGTCATCTGAGTTTACCCAGAGAGATTATATTAATATTCAACAGCCAAATGTACCATTTAAAAAAAAAAACACCCCATGATCTCCTTCTACCAAAATAAGGCTGGAAAGTATAGAGAGAGGACCTTGGGAGCCCAACTATTCCTATTTCTATTCTTAACCCCTATGAATACACCAAAATGGCCAAAATTGCTGCTGAAAACCAGCTGTTTGCAGCCGATTTTCTACAGCCATTTTCATCCTTGAAAACAACAAAACAACCATAGGTCAACGATAAGTAAAAATGATTCACCTCTTCCTGTGATCTCCCCTTCTTTCCCGTCTCATTGTATTTCACAACCAAACTGATAAAGGAGAGCAAGTTCTGTCCTGAATTTTAGGAAAGCTGAACAAAATAGGCAAGATTTTTTGATGAGATCGAAACTTGCCAATGTGTACAATATAACCCTCTGAAACTATATTAATCGGTTTTACACCCCATCTTTTGTACAGAAGCTCAGTGTAATGTACATAATGTACTGTACACTAGTGGAGGTATCCCTCTCCTCCCTTAGGAGATAGGTTGGGTCGAAAGCATGACTCACCCCAAATCACCCAGTTTCTGTGGCTGAGAATGAATTGGATCTCCCCATTCCTAATCCAACACTTAACCACTACAACATACTGGTACCTGGATGTGGCCAATTAAGAAACACACCAACACTTAATGCTTCCCTATTAATGCATTGATTTGTTTTAATGATTTGTGAAAGTACTCCCTGAAAACTTTTCCAAGTTTAGCAATCCTTCCAAAGAAGCCAAGCATCCCGACTGAATGTTTGGAAATGGGATTTCCCAAGTAACGCTTTAGAATGACTTAAACCAAAACTGACAGGAGTTTAGTCAAAGCCATCTGGGAAGGGGAGTGCCTGAAAAAAAATAACGCCAGTAGTGCAATCTGAAAGACAAACAGAGCAAGGACTGGAACCTGGGAGAAAAGCCAGCGGAAATAAAGGGCCTGGATTGAGACACTGTGGGAAAGGGCTACGAGAAAAGGAATGAACTGCTGCTGCCATCACACTGAAGTAAAGCTATCAGACTAGGCTGGGCTCAATTAGCATCAGATGGAATTAATCACAGACTACATAGCTTCCCGGCTCCTTGTTTTCTTCGCTTTCTTTCCAAATCCAAACAAAACAGATTGCTTTTATGTATATGATTTGGCAAGCCAGGCACAAATCACCAGAAGTTCAAATAAATGTTTGTCTTTGCACCTGAAAGTCCTTTTTGATAATTTGAAACACTAATTTCTAGCTTCTCTTGAGCCCCGATCAATTCTTTCTAGGGAAGACTGCTGAAAACGAAGCATTCCACTTCTCTTTTTCCTTCCAAACAACTTCCTTGAATCAAATCATCTTCATCTGCTT